CGGCCTGCGCGGGAGGCCAGCGTGGGCGCACCTCGTGGAGAAGAGGGCGCAGACGCGCGGCCCTGCGCGGGAAGCTGACGCGCGAGCGTCGGCGCAGTCGGCCCTGCTTCCTGCTGTCGCTCACGCGTCGGAGAAGGCGCACGGCGGCGGTGCCGAAACCAGTTGCGCGCCGCAGATGTTGTAGCCCCCTCCCTCGCCGTGCTCTGCCCGCGTGAAGGGGGCAGTCGGGATAGGAATGTCGAGAACCAATTCTGAACACGTGCGAAGGGGTGCCGCGAGGGGGGCCGACTTCCAAGAAGGTGGGGGAGTTTTTAAGAGGCAGGCGGCTCCTTAGAAGCCTCCCCCGCTGGCTTCTTAGAGGCCTTCTTGGGAACATCCAGACGTTTCAAGAAAGGCCCCTGCCTTCCGGCATGCCCCCCGCCCTCTTAGAAGGCCACCCCTTGGGGGAACCAAGCGATACGGCAACGCCGAAGGGGGGGTCACCGCACGGGGGGCGACCACCTTTTCGAAGAAGCGCAAGTTCCTCGAGGAAAAGGGCCCCCCCAAACACCCAAACACTCCCAAACCTTCCAAAACGACTCCGGGCGTCTAAACACCTGCTCGCGTTTCGACCTCCGATTTTCGATTTCCAGGGCAAGCTGGTGACCCCCCCGGTGGTGACCCCCCCTCGGCACTGCCCGACCACTCCGCCACTCCGCAGGCCTCTACCAAGGTGCGTTCTGACCGAGATTGCGAGGCAAATCCAGCGGCGGCGGCGAGGGATAGTGGTAGCGATATCGGTGTTTCTTCCTCCTCTGAGCCCATTCGCGCCGTCCTCTGTTCGGCTGCATCAAAGAATGATCCTACAGTCGGGGCGTTGACCTAAGGAACCCTAAAGAAGGAACGGGGCCCCTTTCTCCCATAAGTTTAACTCCGATTTCCCATGGAAAACTTCCGGAAAACAGAGGGCAAACTGCCGAACAATCAAGGAACACCGAGCCCCTCCCCAACGAAGAGGGTTCCTTCTCCAGGGCCCTGGCTGCAGGCAAGTGTGGCTTTTTGGTGCGCGGCCCCAGGAGGCCGCGGGGGGGGGGGGAGGGGGCCGGATCCACACGCGCAGGCCGCTGCTGCCGGATCGCGCTCCACCATCGGGGGACCCTGGCGGGCCCGCACCAAAGGCCACCCTGGCGAAAGGCCACTCCTACGTGTACAGTCGGGGCGTTGACCTAAGGAACCCTAAATAAGGAACGAGGCCCCTTTTTTCCATAAGTTAACCTTCGATTTCCTGTCGAAAACATAAGGGAAGCCTGAGGCAAGCTGTGAAACACTTAAGGAACGCGGAGCCCCTCCCCAACGAAAAGGGTTCCTTCTTCAGGGCCCCGACTGCAGTCAATCTGCGCGCGCCGCCGACCTCCCCGCCGTAGCCGCGGCCCGACAGCGCCCGGCACCTCCACACCTCGGCGCTCCCTCCCCCCCCCAGCCGGATCGGCGGATGGGCTGGGCGCGCCGAGGGGGCGGGCCAGGAAGGGGGGGGTCTCGCGCGCAACGTGTCCCGAGGCACGTGCGCGGACCAGCGGGAGGGCGGGGGCAGCAGACGTATTGGAATTACCCGGCGACGTACCCAACCCGTATCTATACGAACAAATACACATGCATACATGTATGTCTGTTTGTATAGATCTGTAAATTACCCCAGTGCGACCCTACCTAGAAGTTGGAGCCCCTAGGAAAGCAGCATTAGTTGCTATGCTATGCTATGCTATGCCATGCCATGCTATGCTGCGCTATGCTATGCTATGCTATGCTAAGCTATGATATGTCATGCTGCGCTGTGCTATGCTAAGCTATGTTTTACTATGCTATGCTAAGCTGCGCTATGCTATGCTATGATATGCTATGCTGCGCTATACTATGCTATGCTATGCTATGCTATGCTATGCAATGCTTGGCTATGTTACGCTATGCTAATGCAGCGCTGCGCTATGCTAAGCTAAGCTAAACTAAGCTAAGCTAAGGTAACCCTCTAGGCAGAGCCTAGGTAGGGAATTACACCCATGCTAATGCTATGCTATGCTGCGCTATGCTATGCTATGCCATGCTGGGCTATGCTATGATATGCTGTGCTGCGCCATGCTATGCTACGCTATGCTATGCTGTGCTCTGCTATGCTACAGCTCAGCGAAGCTAAGATGAAGGTACGCTAAACTAAGATAAACCTGAGCTAAGATGAAGCTAAACTAAGCTAAGATGAAATAAGCTAAGCTAATATGACATAAGCAACGCTAAGCTAAGGGGACGTAACTGGGGGAACCCGTAACTGGGGGAACCGCGGGGCGGATCCTGGGGGAACCGCCCGGGGCGCGTTCCACTGCCCGGCCCCTTTAAGCAAAGAGAGTAAGAACCCTTCTAGGCAGAGCCTAGGTAGGGAATACATAATATACATATATAGGACCTCTCTTTTAAAACAAACATGTTGAATAACCCGCAGTGCACATCAGCTCCCGTAAGTACACAAGAACACGTGCACGCATAGCAAGATAGGGACGGATACGGAGACATGCGGAGGAGGGAGAAGAAGGGACATACACGTCGTTCATTTCTAATCGTGCTCACTTCTAATTGTGTTCGTTTCTAATTGTTCCTGGCCCCCTAAGTGGCCAGGAAGAGGCCCAGGATAGAACAATTAGAAACGAAAGGATCTTGGCCCCCCAATATCAAAGAACTTTCGAATAATTCGAAATGAGCCATGTGTACATGTTCAGTAACAACAAGAGCGCCGAACGCTACACACGTGGGAGACAGAACAGCGCCATGCGCCGTATGGCAGAACGGCGCGTCGCGCGGAGCGAGGCAGGCGCACGGGACGGCGTGGCGGGACACGGAGGGCTCGAAGACGGCGATAGTTGCACACGTCGCAGCCCCACATGGGGAGCTGCGAGGTCCCAACGGGGGTCTGCGTACCACTCCACTTCGCTGGACCTCCCAGGAACCAGCGAAAATGGCGAGAATTGCAGCCCCCCGCGGGAGCCACGAGGTGCCAACGGGGTCTGCTTACCACTCCACTCCGCTGGACCTCCCAGGAGCCCAGGAATGTGGCGACAACTGCGCACTTTAAGAGAAGCCGCGAGGTGCCAACGGGGTCTGCGTATCACTACTCCTCTGGACCTCCCAGGAGTCCACGAAAATGGCGAAAATTACACTCGCAGCCCTCTCGGGGGAGCCACGAGGTGCCAACGGGGACTGCGTACCACTCCAGTCCGCTGGACTTCCCAGGAGCCCACGACAGTGGCAACCGTTGCGCGCTTTGCAGCCTCCCAGTGGAGCCGCGGGTTCCGAACTGGTTCTGCGTACCACTCCACTCCGTTGAACCTCCCAGGAGCCCACGAAAGTGGCGACGGTGGAACACTTCGCCTTCCCCGTGCCTTTGCCGGCCTCGCGCGCTCCTCGCTCGCCGGGTGATCCAGGATGCTCCTCGACTGTCCTCGCCGAGGACAGGATGCTCGGGCCGAACGAAAGGGGGGGATAGGGAAAGGGGGGGTTACGAAATTTGCTGCATGCAGCTGGTTTCGGCCCCGCTGCCGGGACCATTCCTCGATACACGGGCGCCTCCCGGCGCCGGGAAAATCAGCTACATAAGCTGGCTCTCAACCCCCCCTTTTGCTATCCCCCCCTTTCGCCCGGACCGAGAGGCACACGCCCGAGCGATGCCACGGCCATCGGATCGCACCGGACACAGATCGGACCGCGGCGGCACCAGCGCGGAGCCACGAGGACCGATTGGGCTCGCGGATCGGACGCTCGGCCTCTGCAGGCCGCATCGCCTCGTGCCGCCTCGGACCGGATATCAGACCGTCCGCAGCCCTGCCGATCGGACGGCTCCCCGGTCCTGGATCGCTCCCTCCGACTGCTCCCTGGGGTCCACCCCGCCCAGGCGAGGCCTGTCTGGCGGGGTGTAGCTCCACGGCTTCGACGTCCTGCCTCGTCTCTTCCGAGAAGGGGCCCGCAGCAGCCCCGACCAGTGCCCCAGAGGATGTTTTCGCCCCGGGTCGTTCTGTTGGCGGTCCTGGGGCCTGGGCCCAGCGAGGGTTCCCAAAGGCCGAAGACGACGGAGCACCTCCGTCTTCACTCTTCCAGGACGTATCTGGGTCTGGGCCCTCGGTCGGGGGGCAGGGAGTCCGCCCCCCCGGCGAAAACCTGTCCGAGTCCCGCGCGGTGGCGAAGCCGCCCTCGCCCGCCTTACTGTCCTCGGCCACGACGAGGCCGCCCACGTCGTGCCTGCCAGTCTGGTGCCAGGGCACCCGCCGTCGTGGCCGCCGCCGTCGTCGTCGTGGTCGTCGTCGTCGCGGTCGTGGGCGTCGTCGTCGTGGTCTCGGGCGTCGTCGCGGTCGTTGTCGCGGTCGTTGTCGCGGGCGTTGTGGCGGTCGTGATCGCGGGCGTCGTGGTGGTCGCGGGCGTTGTCGGCGTCGTGGTCGCGGGCGTTGTATTGGTCGCGGTCGCAGGCGTTGGTCGTGGACGAGGCCGCGGTCGTTGTCGTCGTAGTTGCGGTCGCCGCCGCCGTCGTCACTGTCACCGTCGGCATCGCCGTCGTCGGAACCCAGACGCCCGTGATTTCTCCTGTGCCCGTGGCCTTCTTCGACGCCAGGACCTCATCAGTTTCGGCCTCTGATGGAGGCGAAGGTCGAGGGTGACTTCTGATTTTTCTGTGTCTTCGGGAAACTGCCCGTCGTCCTGTCTAGAATCCCTCTGGAAGTCAATTTCGAGACCACGTGCTGGAGCCGTCCTGTGGCCGATTGTCGAGGTGGACGGGCCACGGCTTTGGCCAGACCTCCGACGATGCGGTTTCCGACGAAACAATTTGCTGGTTCTCAAGTCTGAAAAACCTTATGTAGCCACGAAACCCGACCTTGGAGGACAAGTGGGTGTGACTTGCGAGGAAGAGAAAAACGCAGAAGAGGATGCCTATATAGTGCATCATGCTGATTCCCGTGTTGTCCCTTTGACGCTGTGCCGCTTTAGGGCGCATTATGCTGGTTCCCGTGTTGTCCGTTTGACGCTGTGCCACGTTGTCGGGGCGTCTCCGACCATCTTGGAACCCTGTTGGGCAACCTTCGGGCCCTGGGGCGTCTCCGACAACCATCTCGGGGCCGTCTTAAGCAGTCTTGGGGCCCTCTTGGGGGTCTCTGGGGGCTTCCTGGGGACCTCTTGGAAGCTTCTTGGGGCCTCTTGGGGGCCTCTTGGGGCCTCCTGGCAAATTTCCGGTCCGTGCTCCTCCTCGGAGAACCCAAAATGCCGGTACGTGCTCCCCCTCTGGGGACCCTCTTGGGGCGTTCCTGGGGCTTTCTTAAGCCGTCTTGGAGGCCTCTTGGGGGCGTCCCAGGCCATCTTGGGGCGATCTGTAGAACCTCTTGGGCCGTCTTGGAGCGTCGGGAAGCCGAAGAAGCGAAATCGCGAAAAACCTTGAAACACCTAAGGAAAATCCATGACTTTTGACTCTTGGGGCTCTTTTGGAGGAACTCGTGGAGGCCTCCCGGGGCGTCTTGGGGGCTTCTTGGGCCATTTTTTGGAGGGTGAAAGAGGGGGTCTGCAACAGGGGGTCTTCAATGGGGGCTGAATGGCCCATGTATGCTCAATGTATCGTTCATGTATGTGATCGAGTACGATTGGCATCCAATGCTGGCGGTCATTGATGGCCAGTCATTCGTGCCCGCGCGTTGCCCGCGCGGGCACACGCGCCGTCCATCCATTATCGTTCATGCGTGCGGGCGTTCTTGCATATTGCGTGTGGGTCGGCGAAGTGGAGTGCAAGTGTGTCTTGATTGTGCGGTTGATGATCGCGTATGTTCCCAGACGATGACTTCTCGACCCCCAAGACAGATTTGGAATGGGCCCCGCGATTCTCCCAAAATGTGAATTCACATTTTCCTTTTTCCCAAAATGTGAATTCACATTTTCCTTTTTCCCAAAATGTGAATTCACATTCTGGCCCCTTCATAAAGAATCCTACCCAAAATTCCAAAATGTGAAATCACATTTTCCTTTTTCCCAAAATGTGAATTCACATTTTGCTTTTCCCAACAATGTGAATTCACATTTTGCCCTGGCCTTCACATCCCCAAAACTGGGGCGCAGTGTTCCGCATGTCAGATTGGCTGGGCAGATTTCGACACTCACCTGACCGCTTTCGTGCGTTCCAGCCTTTCCTTTTTGCGCCCTTAGCGCACGTTGCCTTCGTCGCCTTTCCCGAGCCCCCCGCCCCCTTGCTTCCTTTCCCCTCAAGTCTCGCGCGCGGGTGCAGGCGGGGGGCTTCAATTAGCTCCCCCGCCGAACACAGCAATCGAGGATGTATCGCCCATTCATGGCCTTAAAAAACATCATTGCCGGGACCCTGCGCCCGACCCCCACTTTCACCCTCCAAATTTTGAAACCATCTAGGGCGTCTTGGACCGGTCCTTCGGCGACTCGTGGCCCTCTTGGACCATCTTGCGGACCATCTTGGGGCCGTCCGTGCCGTCTGGAAGCGCGTCTGCCAACTTGCGGCCGAATTCCGCCGGCGTTCCGCCCGTGGCCGAGGGGGGTGCCGGGGGGGGTACCCCCCAGACCGGGGGGGGGTACCCCCCCAGACCCCCCTAAGGGAACACGCAACGGGAACCCCTCCGCAAGGTCAAGGAATCACGGCTGTTCATCCGTAACAAGCTCACATTCCGGGCTACATCAACGAATGTTCCCACCCTCAACAACTTCCTCACAAGTTCCTCAAGGATCGCGCTCGCGCCAGAGACTTCCCCGCAATCTACTCAAGAATCGCGCCCTCGCATGGGACCTCCTCGCAATTTGCGCAGCTGATCTCTTGACGTCCAGAGACGGCTCTCCTTTACGAGGCTTCCTCGAATGCTCTCGCTTCGGACCTCTGCTCACCTTCCTGCCCCGCCCGCCCGACCCGCCTGTCAGGGCCCGCTCGCCCGACCCGGTCGTGAGGGTCCGTCCGAACCCACCCGCCCATTGAGGTCCGCCTGTTCGCCCGTTTTGAAGAGGTCCCAGGACACACATATAAATTCACACAAGTAAAAGGATTCCCGACATTTTCTTATATTTTCTGGGTTTTTGTCTTCCCCCCACTTTCCATATTTTCCTATGTTTTCCTGGGAGTCGACGATTACTTGTGTCTGTGTGTTTCTTTCCCTCCTGACGTTTGGAAGCCCGCTGTTCGCAGGTCTCTGCTTTCGGGCCCGTCCTCCTCGGGGCCAGGCCGGGCCTGCGCGCCTGCACCCTCGGCTGGTGCCCTCGGCCGAGGCCGCCGCCTTGCCCTCGACCTCGTCCTCGTTGCCCTCCCTCCTCTCTTCCTCCTGATCCTCCTCCACCTCCTCCTCCTCCACTTCGTCCAGCCCCCCTTCTGGTGATTCCACTCCTCCCTCTCGACTCCCCCTCGGCCTCGTCCCTATTCTCCTCCTCCTCCTCCTCCTCCTCCGCCTCCTTTCCTCCTCCTCCTCCTCCTCCTCCTCCTCCTGCTCCTCCTCCTCCTCCGTACTCATACGCCCCGCCTCCTCCTCCCTCGGGCGCACGCTGACATGGATAAGGGATTCATGGCTCGAGAAAGGCACGTGCCGTCTAATTTGGTGGCGGAGCGCGCCGATCTGCATGGAAACGGGACCCGTCGCTAATCCACGCGTCTGAATCCATGTTTGCACTTTCTCGGTTTTCCTGCCCATTTTCGTTCTCCTCTTCGTCTTCTTCTTCTTCCTCCTCCTCCTCCTCATCATCCTTTTCCTCCTCCTCCTCCTCCCTCCTCCTCCTCCTCCTCCTCCTCCTCCTCCTCCTCCTCCCTCCTCCTCCTCCCTCCTCCCTCCTCCCTCCTCCCTCCTCCCTCCTCCTCCTCCTCCTCCCTCCTCCCTCCTCCCTCCTCCCTCCTCCCTCCTCCCTCCTCCCTCCTCCTCCTCCTCCTCCCTCCTCCCCTCCTCCCTCCTCCCTCCTCCCTCCTCCCTCCTCCCTCCTCCCTCCTCCCTCTCCCTCCTCCCTCCTCCCTCCTCCCTCCTCCTCCTCCTCCTCCTCCTCCTCCTCCTCCTCCTCTCCTCCTCCTCCTCCTCTCCTCCTCGTCCTCCCCCCCTCCCTCCCTCGGACGCCTCTTCGAGAACAGACCGCCCCCGCACCGCAGGCCCAGCAGCTCCGCAAGCATCGCGGGCACCAGGCCCCCCCCCCCCTCCACGCAGCGCGCGGGAAGGCCCGGGAAATGCCACGGGGGGTCACCGCCCACGCCAATCGCCGGCTTCTCTGTCGCAGGCGCGGCAGGGGCGGCCCCCGCACGCGCGCTCTGGCGGCCGGGCTCGGGCACGCCCGAGCTGTCCGGCCGCAAGAGAGGGGACGGGGCGCCCATCGCCAACACGCAGGGGTGACCTCCTGGGCAGGGGTGCCGTCGGGTGCGCGGCTTGCGGGGGCAGCGGGCGGCGGGGCCAGGTTCACCTGCGCAGGCCAGTGACGGGGCCAGCCCTGCGGGCCCGCACCAGGGAGTCACTTGGGCGAATGGGGTATACCCTTGCGCGTGGCGGAGCCGAGGAGGAGAGCCCACGCCTCCGACGATCCGATTCTTCATTCCCAGGGTGCTGCCTCGATCTCGGCCTCCCGGGGGGCCGTTGCCGGGCCCGGGGCCATCAACACCTGATCTAGGACGCAGCGCTGCTCAAGGGGAAGGGGTCGGGAGCTCCGGGGCCGCGGACTGAGCACATCAGACCGGCGGATTATCACGAGGGCACGAGGAGAAACGTCCACGACGTGCGGAGTCCTGGCTCTCTTGATCCCAGCGCTGTGGAGTGATTTCGGCCTCTGGGGGCCGCGCTCGGGCCCTGGGGCCGGCCAGCACTCGTGTTCCGCGGCCTCCGGGCAGTGCTGAGGGGATCACCGCGGAACGCCTGCTCCAGGAAACGGAGGCTCCTCCAGAAAACGGATGCCCCCTGGACCCTGGACCCCGCACAGAGAGCCCCCCGGGGACTCTCCAAGGACGGCCAGACGCGCTCCAGGCCTTCTGCATCCTGGATCCCCCCTCCCCTGCTCCTCCCCGATCCTCGGTTTCGGAGAGGAGGCTGTGGCCCCCAAACAGATGACCCCGCAAGCATCCGACGGTGTGACTTGTCCAATGCGCCTCCCCGGCGCTTCCCACCGCTGCCCCGGGGGCAAGATTCTGTCCCCGTGGCCGAACACGGCCCCCGTGGACGCCGAGGTCGAGGAAAAGCCGCCGGGACTGGAAAAACCATACAGCCATCGTGCTGTGGCATGGGCAGCGCAAGCACAGGAACGAGTGGGCCCTTCTGGCTAAGCGGGCTCCCGCCACGAATGGACTCCCTGACCTGGATCCCGAGCACGGCCCGAAAACCAGAGCCCCTCCCCAGCCCCCAAAGAGGCTCTTATTTCAGCACACCAGCTGCATCGCCGGAACTTTGGGACTGGCCGGTGACTGGTGAGGCGTCAGGCCCGCTCCGGGAAGTCCCGGCTGCCCTCGGCCGGGACCACCTGAGGGGGGCCATCTGTGCGCAAACCGAAGCCTTGCCTCCAATGGCAACCTTGCCTAAGATCCGACGTCTCGAACAAACTGAAACATCGCGAAAAACCCAAACCGGAGCTCCAGGACACCATCTTTCTGCCTCATTTTTCGAACTGGATCGACCTGTGGGGGTCCCGGGGCCCAAAACTGAGCGAAAACGCCCGCCGTGAGAACACTGCAACGCCGAGATCTCAGGGTGCGCAGCCCGAAGCCTTGCCACCGGTGACCCCCTTGGCACAACCCGCAAGCGGCGGCGGGGGCGGGGGAGGGGCTGGGTTGCAAGAGTGACCCTAGGCGAGCGTGACCTCTGGTGCGCGAAATGAAGTGGCGCAAAGCGGCCAAGCCCACGCGCGCAAGCAGCCGCTATGGCACCGCGCTCAGCGATCGGAGGGGCCCCGATGAGCCCGCACCAGAAGTCACTCCGGCGAAGGGGCACTCTCACGTATCGTAAGTCGGGCCCGTCCCTCTACTGGAGGAATATTCCAAAATAGTAAAGCAAATAGTCTGGGGACTATGTCTTGAATACTTTTTGATGTGACCATTTTGGAATACGTTTTTTGTATATTTTCAATTTCGTGTCGAAACAAATCCCCCCGTAGGGTGACGCGCCCGACTTACACGTATCGCCCGGGGGCGCTCCGGGCCGGCGCGGCTGCAGAGTCCCGCCGCGGCGGCCGTGCAGGCCGGAGGAGGCCATCGGAGGTCGTCGTCGTCGTCGTCGTCGGCGTCGTCGTCGTCGTCGTCGTCCGCGTCCGTCGTTTTCGTCGTCTTCGTCCTCGCCCTCGTCCTCGCCCTCGTCGTCGTCGTCGTCGTCGTCGTCGTTTTTGTCGTCGTCTTCGTCTTCGTCCTCGTCGTCGTCGTTTTTGTCGTCGTCTTCGTCTTCGTCCTCGTCTTCGTATTCGTCCTCGTCGTTGTCGCCGTCGTCGTCGTCTTCGGCATCCTCGTCGTTGGTCTCGTTGTCGTGGTCGTCCTCGATGTCCTCGTCGTCGTCCTCCCCCTCCCTCCAGGCGGGGGAGAAGGACGAGGAAGAGCGTACTTTTTTTGATCCGCGGGTCGAGAGCGCACCTCTTCCGGTCGAAGCTAAGCGGGCCGCGCACAGCTTTAATTAACAAAGGGGGGGGGCAGAAGGAGGGGCCTCACGGGAAGAGCGTACACATAGACACACACATGTGTGTGTATGATAAGACCTCCGACGTCGTGATGTTTCGAAAGGCTGGCGTCTTCATTCCAGAACTTCGGCCTCTGGAGGCCCGATCTGGGCCCCTGGGATTGGCAGTCACAAGACAGCTTGCCGCTTGGGCCCCACCGCCGGCCCAAACGGCGAGCATGTGTCGGGCGCAGCCCAGTAGAGACCACCAGGGATGTGTGCCACCCATGCTAGGGGACCCACAAAGGACGTACGCGCCCAGCTATGTACATGAACACGGCCCCTCGATCCGCGAGACCGGCCGCGCGATATGAACATTCGCGCTTTGAGTACTCTCGAAACCAACGTGGGTTCATGTACGTGTACGTCCTTCTTCCGCTCCTGACATGCGGCGCGCCATGGGCTGCACGATCCATGAGTGGCGACATCTGTGGTTTGCGTATTGGCGATTGGTCACTCCTTTGGTTGCGCCGTCCGCGGGGTGCGCCCTGGGTTGCGCCTGAGGTTGAGCACTCGGCTGCCGAGCATCGACAGGCCTGCTATTTGCTGCGCCACAGGCTGCACATTCGGCGGCCGAAAAGAAGACGACGAGCCATTGGCTGCGCAATAGGCTGCGCGCTCGGTGGCCGAAAATCCGCCGACCCTGTCGGCGTGTGGAAGAGGCTGTTCCGTTTGACTCGTCGAAATTGAACAACGTTGTAGTTGAGTCGAAGGGAAGCCCCTTCCCTTTGATCCCTTCCCCGCCAGGGGGGGGGGTCCCTGGGGGGCGGTCGCGGGGGGTCCCGGGGTGTGTGTCCCGGGGTGTCCCGGGGCAGATACGACTCGCCCCCCCGGCGGTTCGGGGGCACAGAAAAGCCCCAGGACGCGGGAAAAGTGCCCTAAGTCCCCAAGACGGTCTTCGAGGTCCCCGAATCGCCGAAGTATCGTCCAAGTCGCCGAAGTAACCTCCAGACGGCTCAAAAGGTTTTCCAAAACGCCCCAAGAGGCCTCCAAGAGGACTTCCAAGGCGGTCCCAAGGGGCAACACATGTAGATTTCCCGTAGGTTTTTCGAAAGATCTCAGCACTCTCGCCTTGTCAGTTTCCCGACGCTCCAATACAGGCCGAGAGGCCTCCAAGACCGCCCCAAGATGGCTCAAGAGGCCTCCAAAAGAGCTCCACAAAGACCCAAGAGGGCCCCACGACCGCCCAAGAGGCCTCCAAGACAGCCGAGGAGGCCCCCAAGACGGCTCCAAGAGGGAGCCCAGACGGGGGACCCGAACGGACATTTCGATCCCTCGGCCTGAGAAGCTCTGAGAAGCTCTCAGGAAGCCCCCAGCGGCCCCTCAGAAGCCCCCCAATAGGCCCCAAGAGGCCCCCAAGAGACCCCCAGGAAGCCCCAAGAGGCCCCCACGAGGCTCCCAAGCGGCTCCCAAGAGCTTCCCAAGAGGCCCTCAAACTACCCCCAAGAGGCCCCCGAGAGCGCTCGTCGTCGTCGTCGTCGTCGTCGTCGTCGTCGTCGTCGTCGTCGTCGTCGTCGTCATTCAGGGTCGGCAGCACCGGCCGTAAGGCCTTCGCAATAAAGCGACCTCTCTGCTGGTTGCGACATGGCTTGCGTACTTGGCGACCGACAGTGCAACGACCTGCGAAGGACGGCGCTATAGGTTGCGCACTTGATGGCCGAACATACAGCGGCTTTCTTCTGGCTGCGCGCTGAAACGACCACACGGCGGCCGGAAACCATACGACATGCTGCAAAGGCCTGCTGCTGGTTGCGCCAACGGTTGCGCACTTAGCGGCCGAAACAAGAACGGCCGCCCAACGGGTGCGACCCAAGAAAGCACAGGGAAGCCGGAGGCACAGATGGCTGGATTCAGCAGTGGGACATCTGGAAATGCTTGCCGGATGCACCTGCGGAAGCTCGGCTTACACGGCCATACAGGGGCCGAGCGCTGGAAAGACATCTGGCCACATGTGTGTCCAGACCTCGCCCAGGCCAGCCATGGCATGTGAATCCAGCTTCCTGGTACCACGACTGAGAGTCAAATTCTGCCTCGCGAGAAACAAGATCGAGCGACGCCAGAGAAACATCTGGGATGGACAGCACCTGCTCCGGGGAAGAGGTCGAGGAGATCGTGGGCCCATGTCTCGAGCAAGCCGAGCCGCCAGACGTGTGGGTAAAAACCAAGACGGACGTCGGCGTCTGAGGGATGAGCGAGAGACGAGGGAGGGAGGGAGGGAGGGAGGGAGGGAGGGAGCGTGAGGAGAGAGAGAGAGAGAGAGAGAGAGAGAGAGAAAGAGAGAGAGAGAGAGAGAACAAAAAAGAGAGACAGAGAGAGAGAGAGAGAGAGAGAGAGAGAGAGAAAAAGAGAAAATCAAGAACAACAAGAGAGAGGAAGAAGGGAGGAAGTGAGGGTGAGGGCCGGGAGGGAGGGAGGGAGCCAGAGAGGGAGGGAGCGGGGGAGCGCCGGTCTGGTGACGGGGCAGCGCAGAGCGGAGCATCCGTGGGGGGACACAAGCGGCGAAGCAGACCTGGGAGGGAGAGAGGGGAGGAATGCGAGGGGGGGTGGAGACGGACGACGAGGGAGGCGAACAGCACGAAGGGGAGGAGGGAGTGGCGAACGATGACGAGGCGAACGACAGGGGCGAGAGCGAAGGGAGAGGAGGGAGAGGAGGCGGGGAGGGCGAGGATAGGGCCAGGGAGTAATGGCACAGGTGCCGCCATGCTCGAGGGGAAGACGTGTCCTCGCTGTGGTACAGTGTCGTAGCCCATCGTCGTCTTGCCCGATGCATCTCCAATCCCCAGTTCGGGGAGGTGTCGTGAGCGTCCTTGGAGGGTGGCCCCACTATGGTGGTGCTAATGTTGCTTCTCGCTCCCCAGATGGGGGTGGAAACGACAAACGGACGGGGTGGAAAGACTCGGGAAGCTAATATCCGGCCACCACGAGCTAGAGACAGCGGAACCGCATTCAAACAAGCAACAATGAAGACACAACAGCAACCGCAAACTTCTTGCACAAGCTGGGACACCAATGTTGAAATGAAGCTGCGTTGGAGCCGCAACGATGCTGCATGTGTCTACCCTCGGCCATGCATGACTCTTCCCCCCTCATAATCCCAACGAGTTTTTGCGTCGATCAGATGGCACGACCTGTAGTGCCTTCGAAAGGAACCCAGTGAATCAGCGTGTCCTCCCACTCGCACCCGGTATGATAAATCTTACTTGGATGAAGCGGGGGACGAACAGGATAAGAATTGCGGCGGCAACCGACTAAAACCCTGAGCACCTACATGCATGCGTGAGTGCGTGAGTGCTACGACCAAGGTGACAAGAAACAATCGACCACACTTGCCACCTATTTCTTCACTTTAGCATCGTGAAGGTCTTGCAACACCTTCCACTTCTGTTTCCGCGTCTGCTCGCGGCGCTCCTCTTCTTCCTCCTCCTGGCGGTGCTGTTCGGCGCACTGGTCGAACAGTTGTGGGTCTGCTTCCATCAACAGCTTGAGCACGTTGAATGTGAGACCGTGGACGGCACTGTTCCAGTGGTGCTTGGAATTCTTATACAAGGCCCCAATAATGATAGGGAACAGGACGTGCCGGTTCTGATTAATCAGCTTCACTATGTAGTCGTTGTTCCAGTAGAAGAGCGTGCGTTCGGCCACCTGGAAGTGAGGGCAAGTGATGCACATAGCGAGGCGGCGGAATAACTCCACCTGCATTTTTGGGAAATCGGATGGCTGTGTGAGTTCGAGCGTCTCCTCCAGCTCGTTCAGGAACAGCACCTGCTTGGCCGTGATTGACAAAGGCCAGAAGCGCAACATCACCGTGATGATGTCGTAGGCGAGGCGCGGATCCTTCTCCACGTACTGCGCCATACAGTAAGAGAGTTGCTGGTTGAACGACGCCAGAGACTTCACCTTGTGGAGAGGGATCAAGGCCTTCATCAAGAACTCCTTGTGTTCATCCTTCAGCGGAAGCGCGAAGCCGTTGATGATACTGCCCAAGATCTCCAGCAACTCGCCTACCCCACTGTGGTTCTCGGACTCGTAGATCACCTTGCAAAACACGTGCTGGATAGCGCGGCGAATGAAGGAGCGAAGGGCCATGAATTTCCCATATATGCGGTGCAAGATGGTCTTGAGGTAGTCACGTTCGCGGGGGTCCTCAGCATCGAAGAGCTCGAGAAACTTCATCATGAAATTCTGGTCGACGAAACGCTTTGCGATCTTGGGGTCCACGTCGTTCGAGACTATGAAGCGCAAGAAGAACTCATAGACGATCTGCAAATGTGGCCACGCCTTCTCCAAACAAGGCTCGTCATCTTCTGGGTCCGAGAACATCCGTACGTCCTTGTTTTTTGTCTGCAATGCACGGAAGATGTTCGCGCTCACCATGTTCACGACGTTCTGCATGAGGGCCTCGTTGAAACAGTTCCGCGTACTGTTCACGTACTCGACCATCTCGAGAAGAGTCTGGCGCTTGGCCTCTTTCTCGCGCAGGTTCGAGTCGTTGGAAAAGTCGAGAACTATGCAGCAGACCTCGGCGGCGCGTAATACGGTGCGGGTCGGTGGCAGCGATCTTCCATCCATGATTTTCCTTTGTTCGAAAAGGAATCAAACAAGTTTCTGATGATGTTCCTTGAACGGCGGGAAGGCTTCTAAGACGTCCCCTACCTTTTGAGAAACATTGACACCTCGCCCAGCCGCCAGCTCAAATCCGCTCGGAACCAATCTCCAGGCCCCCACCTGGGAACCATTCTGGCCAGTACTTCCCAGACGGGAATGACGTCAAGATTCAAATGTCTTTTTCGGGGCTCTGGCCAGCGGGGTAAATGGCTGCGGATCCAGCCGCTAGTGCTCCCGCTGCTGCCTGTGCTTCTTGCCCTCCACCCTTCCCTCAGCCAGCCAAGCCATCTACCCCGCCCACAGGAGCCCCTTAACAATCACATTCGAATGATGCGATTGGCTCAGGACAGATTCCAAAAGCTTCGGAGCATCCGGTGGCCCTCGTCTCTGCAGTTCTGGAGTCTGGTCAGAATTGCAAGACTACCTGGAATTCTCCGGGTGCGCAGAGGAGGGGGGTCAGCACATCACGGCCCGAGACATACATGTGCGTAGATGAGGGGGGGGGTCAGAGGACGCACTGAAGAAAAAAGAGTAGGCCAGGGAATCGGGGAGCTTTCTCGTGGCCCTGGCCATGACCTAGGAGGTCATCTAACTTCGCGCATCGCGCCCGCGATGCGCAGTGATCTTCGCGCCTTCGCGCCGCCACCCTAGAGAAGGGCGCCTCTCTCCAAGCCAGGCCGCGATGCGCGAAGCGCGATTGTCCTCACGCTCCTGGGGGCGACTTCAAAACAACGACGCAAGAGCACACGCTCACGCACACGCACACGCACCCCTAAATAACGACGGCGAGGACGAGCACCACTACCAGTGCGAGTGCGACGACGACGGCGACGAAGACGACGGCGGGGGGCCGCCTAGAAGAACAGCAACTTGCATGAACACTCACTTTCGGAGATCCGCGCGGATCCCTCCCACCTGCGCTGGGCCCCCTACCCTGGCGCGCGGAGCGGCGCTGGAGGAGCCGCCGAGGGGGGTCCAGCGCCGATCCAAGAACTACGCGCTGACCTCGGACAATTTACCGTCTAAATTGATTGGCCTAGCGCCTGTCGTGCCGCGGTGGCAGCCCCTGCGACACGCTATGCCCTGCAGGCTTGCAGCATGTCGCTCTCCTTCGTGGGGCGGGAGGCTGGGAAAAGATCAGAACGATGATGCCTCTTGGACTCGGGCGTGGTCAGCGTGTGGCGCCGAAGACTTGTGGGCCAAAACCGGCGCGACAAGCTAAGCAACCGTGCCTAACGATACGTTTGCACAAATTCTTGGGAGCCCCCAGACGGTGCGGTGACAGACCGTACGGCACCCTCAGAATCCGCAAGCACCCCACCGCACGGTCCGCCGCCGCACGGTTCTGGGGTCCCGCTGGCCCCTGTCGGCCGAGACGTCCTCGGGGATCGACCACGTCCCAGAACCGTGCGGTGACCCCGAATCCCAACTGGCTCACCGCATGGCCGATCCACCCTCAACGTTGCCCCCCAGGTTTCGGCCTGTAGCTCGCCTCTCCGGCGGCCGTTCGGGGCGATGCTGGCACCCCTGGAACGCTCTCGGCGAGGGCGCAGCTGCTGGAAGGCATCCCGAGGCTGGAAAAGCCACAGGAACCAAGGAACACACGTCCGAACAACCTCGAACCTCAAACCTGAGCGGATTTTCCACGACGTCCCCCCGAGGGTTTGGGCCCCTTCCCTGGGACTGGCCTTTCGTCCTGAGTAGCTTTGGTTGAAGGTCCCGGGGCCCAGTGAGAAACACCTTCCGTTGTGTTTTTTCCAGGACGCGAGGGGGTCTGGACACACGGTGGGGTCTCTGCACCGTGTTCGGGAGCGTCTACAGGAGCATGGCCCGAAGCACGCGTGCGGCCCTTGCTGGGGGGCGTCTAGAAGGGAAGGGTCGCAGATCATGGCCCGAGGCACGTGTGCAGCACGTGTGTCATGGCCCTGGCTGTGATCCGCCCCCGCCCCCCCTGGTCACCACCCCCCTCTTGGCCGCCCCGAGCGGTTTGGGGGCCTCCCAATTTCTTCGCCGGCAAGCCTCCATCTTGCGACGGAAGAGGTCGCTTCGCTCCACGGCCACGGCGTCGCGCAGCTTCGGGAGCGAAGCGAAGGACCCCAAGTCGGCGGTCGGGTGGGACGATGCCTGGATGCCCTCCGCTCTGTCCTTCCTTCCTGCTCCTCCTTCCTCCGTCCTTCCTTCTCTTCCTCCTCTTTCTGTCTCTCCTCCTCCTCCTCCTCCTGACTCCTCCTCCTCCTCCTCCTCCTCCTCCTCCTCCTCCTTCTGCACCTCCTCCTCCTCCTCGCCGCCGGTGGTCTCCCCCGCCTGCTCTCCCTCCTTCCTCCCCATCTCCCCCGCACCTCCGCCCCGTCTTCCTCCTCGTCCTCCTACTCCTCCTCCGCCTCCTCCTGGGCTGTCCAAATGGTGCGCAGGGCTCCTGCGGGTAGCCATCGGTCGGAAGAAGAAGGTAGAACCATGAAGTAGGAAGGCGTTGGAAGTAGCTTGGATTTCCGCCCGCCTCCTGTAGAGGAGGGAGGAGGGAAAACACTCGACTCTTGAAGTAGGAAGGCAGCTAAAGTATACTGGAATCTGGAAATCCAAAAACACCTACATTCACCGATCGATGGGTAACGGGGCGCCTGTAAGGATACCTTTCGGTCTCCGACGAGCACCTCCCCCGAACCCTCTGAAATTACGGCACCGGGGCGACACAAGCAACCCGGTTTCAAATCGGGGCCTTCCCAACCCCATTTGAAACCCGCCATATCGAAGGAACAACTGCTCACTTGACATATCAAGAAACTGGACAACGCGTCCTGGTTCCCTCATGCCTGCCTCACAAGTCAGGTGATATTCGGTATTCGCACGAGGTATACACCTTCACAATGCAAAGCCCTGATACGGAAGTATGCGGGTTGGCCTTCCCAAGTCCTGCACAGTTGAAGAGTTGTTGCTTGCCGCGGCGAAAATCAGGCATTCTAGTTCAATTGGTCAGCGCATTGTCGCTTCCATGTCCCGTCAGTGCGTTCCATATTTCTGCGAAATATGCTGGGGCATTGGCTCGTCCACATTGCAACAGCCTGATACGCCTGTGTAGGGGGTGAGCCTTCTCCAGTCTTGCCCATTTGCAGAATGTTGTCTTGTCGCGGCGAATGCCAGACATAATAATTGAACTCATGTTCGCATTTCAGCATCGATGTCTTCAATTGCGCTGCTTTTTGTTTTGCGTGTGAAATCCTGATGTCCCTCGTACTGAGGCATTGGCCCTTCTACAGGGCAGCATCCTGATACAGCTGCATGGGGGTGGGCCTCTCCCAGTCTAGCACCTTTGAACATCAGTTCGTGGAGCGGCAACTGTAAAATTTGTGAGCTTGTCCGATCTGCCCGTGACAAGGCAACGTTTTAACTTGCGATGCACTACAGCTTCACGGTAGATTCCCATGCTTGCGCGTCTGAAAGATTCGTATTCGAGCGGCAGCAAATACTTCGTGAGCTTGCCCGTTCTGGCGATTGCGTCCCCAGACGAGGCATAGCCTCCCAGACATAGCCTGGTGGCAATGCTGGCGGTCCTGCTTTCACGCTGGACGCTTGCACATGGTATCTACTTCCACAAGGCAACACTTTGATACTCGATACAAAATGTACGGGGGTGAGCGTTACCCATCCTAGCACTTTGGACACTTTGTCCGCAATGGAAGGGCAACATTTTGTTTCGTGAACTTATCCAGTGTAGCAGATCCGTTGTTAGACCAACCGTTCATGGGACGGCAACTCTTGACTTCGTAAACTTTTTTTCGTTCTAGAGATTCTAGGTCCAGCAGATGCTGTAGCCTCGAGGACATAGCCTGGCGGCAATGTCGGCGGTCCTGCATTCACACTGCACGCTCTCGCGAAGTATTTACCCACGCAGGGCAGCAACTTGATAAGGCCGTATGGGGGTGAGCATTCCCCAGTCTAGCACGCTCAAAAGTTTCTGGTAGAACTGCAACTCTTTACTTTGTGGGCTTGTCCGTTCGAGCGATTCCGTCCCAGACGAGGCGTTAACCTCCAGGACATTACCCAGAAGCAGTGCCGGCGATTCTGCATTCACAATGATTTTTCGTACGTGCTACCCACTCCACACAGCAACCCTTTTGTACTTCATACGGCTGAATGGGGTGTGTGCCTTCCCAACTTAGCACGTTGAAGCAGTCTGATCATGGAACGGTAGCTCCTTACTTCGTGAGCTTGTCTGTTCTAGCGATGCGGTTCCCAGTAAAGGCTGGCCTCCAGAACACAGCCCGGCGGCAATGCTGGGGGTCCTGCCTCCTCAACGCACGCTCGCACGACGCATTTACCAGCGCAGGGCCGCCTTCATACGGCTGTCTGTATGGGGGCGCGCCTCCAGCCTTGACTGTGCTCAGGGCCCGCTTCCACATAGCGAAACGAGCCGCCCACGAACGTCGGGGATCTACTGACCCGGGTCAATCCACACCAGGGTCAGTCAGGCCTTTCAAGAGCCTGTATGATCCTGCAGGATCCTGTAGGATCCTGCGCCCAAGCCCGGGTCAATGCGATCCTGGCTGCGCAGGATCCTGCAAGATCCGGCGCTCTGACTGACCCCTGTTGGCATTGACCCTCGTCTCTTGAGACCTGGGAACGACGACCGCGGCGGCGGCGGCGCCGGGCCTTGCCGCCGTCGCCCGCCGCCCCTCCGCCCGAGCGGCTCTTGGCGGGGTCCTTCGCCCCTGGCGTCCTGCCCTTGCTCTCGTCCGTGCCCATGCGGCGCTTCACCGAGGAGGGGAGGGGGGCTGGAGGAGGAGGAGGAGGAGGAGGAGGGCGATGAGGGAGGAGGGCGATGAGGGAGGAGGGCGATGAGGGAGGAGGGCGATGAGGGAGGAGGGCGATGAGGGAGGAGGGCGATGAGGGAGGAGGGCGAGGGAGGAGGAGGGGAGGAGGAGGAGGAGGAGGAGAGGGAGGAGGAGGAGGAGGAGGAGGAGGAGGAGGAGGAGGAGGAGGAGGAGGAGGAGGAGGAGGAGGGAGGAGGAGGAGGAGGAGGAGGAGGGGGAGCCCCACCCCTGTGTCCCTGCGCCGTCGCGCAGGGACACAGGGGTGGGGCTGGCCTCGGCGCGCCGCCGCCGTCGGCGGGGCGCGCTGCGCCGAGAACAGTGACCCCCACCAGACGAAGAGAGTTCTCCGCGTCTGCATCAAGGTCCTCGATGGTCCTCGCCGAAGGACAAATGCACACGTCCGAGCGATGCCAGGTCCATTCCTCCATCCCTCGTCCATCCCACTTCGAGTGCGCGCAAGGAGTGACCCTATAGACAAGAGTGACAATTTTGGTGCTTTTGGCTGCAATGTGCCGCGGGGGTAGGCCCATAGTCCAAGCGCGCAGGTCCGGCGCCGGGGGGGGACCCGTGTGAGCTCTGGGCAGCGCTCAATAATGTGGGACGACGATTCATAAACAAAATGGGAGAGAACGATGCAAGACATAGTTTTCGGCTATTTCTGCACAAGTTTCTGACTGGAGGAGAACGACTAAAGAAATAATTTTCCAGCCCGCGGCCGGTTTTTTCTGATCGTCATCCCGGGCGCCGCCGCGTGAACACGACCCCCGGTCATTTATTAATCGTCATCCTCCATTAGCTGGGGGTGCAACACCATCCACGTGTGGGTGAACAACCGCGCCACTCCTTGCACCAACTGTTGCCGATCGACAGAGCGAGCCTCGCCGACGTCAGCTGCCGAGCACTTCTGGGGGCAGCGCAGCCCGGAACGGGCCTGGCACAGAAGACTAATAGCTCAAGGGGCCCACGATTCACGACGACTTGCTGCAATTGCCGCACGGGAGCGGCTAGAACTATACCACAGATCAATGGTCCCTGGTACGCGCCAGCCCATGCGCCAGTCCCTTACGAAGTACAAGGCTGACTACCACAGACGCGACAACTTTATAATGGAAGTCACATGCAGGAGAGCAACAGGGAGGATACGAATAATACATGGAAGTGGGTGTGCAACCGTCTCGTCTCCAACCACGTATGGAGATGTCACTGCGGACACCATTGGCAAGAATACCATGACTACTACGATCAGAAAACAAACACCAATAACCAACCATCTGCTTCCACATAGCAAATGGATAATATTGCGGACAAGAGAATCGAAAGACTGACTACAACGGACGAAAACGATGCAATGCCCGAAACGGAATGGATACCCATACCAGAGGACGAGGACGACTCTTACGAGTACCACCATCAATGCAATGCGCGTGTCTATAAACTTGCACATCTTCACCGCCAGCAAGCGAGCGGAATTACCATACCAGTACCTCTACAATAATGTCGCCTGCATCAAATGCATGCTTCAGACCATTAAGCCCCTTGAACTGCGTTTCAAGCATTTACATGCAAAGAAACCCAACCATATCGAAGGGGACACAACTACGACAATACTATCCACACGAGCGAGCAGGATAATAATACCAATGACGAAGGAATCAACATGATTACCAAAACAATCAAACCGGTATAGCAAAGAGCTGACACTTTGACACGTAACCCGAGGAGGGCACGTTCCTCCAGGCCTGCGGTAAGAGAACCAGCGCAGCAGGCCCAGAGGAGAACGACGCCATCCAAAGCCAGTGCCGACCTCACCGACACTGTGTCAAGACACTAGAACAATCACTCAACGAAACTCTTACCAAGATCGAGAACACTCCACAACCGGGCTTCATGAAGAAAGATACCCACGGTACAGGCCGCGAGATCCGCTTCAGGGGCGCCTCGCATGGCCCACGTGCGAAAAACGCCGCGCAGACGTGGACAGGCGCATCCTCGAATGGGCGATCCACGTTCAGGACGTGGTGCTGAAGGACAGGCACACGGTGTCTGGCGCCGACGAGGACGAGGCAGGAGGAGGAGGCGACGACGATGCCGATGACGAGGACGAGGAAAGAAGAAGGACGAGGAGGAGGACGAGGACGAGGACGAGCACTAGGAAGGAGGAGTCGACGAAGAGGACGTGGAAGGAGGAAGGACGAGGAAGGAGGAGGAGGAGGCGACGACGATGCCGAGGGCCGACACGAAGGGCGCCAAGACGCGGGCGGCCGCGGCGCAGGCGCAGCGCGGCAGCGGCCGCGAGGAGGAGGGACACGCAGGAGAGAGGGAGAGAGGGAGAGGGAGAAAGAGAGAGAGAGAGAGAGAGAGAGGAGGGAAGGGCGCCCACTGCAGAGGCAGGGAGGGAGGCCAGAAAGGAGGAGGGCAGGCCCCGCCGCAAGACACGAGGAGGGCCGAGGGGGAAGAGGAGGAGGGCAGGCGCGCCCGCTGCCCAAGGCTGGAGGGACTGGCCGCCCAAGCGAGGACCCCGGAGGAAGCCATCGACAAGGCAATGGACGGTGCCGAGAGGTGCGTGCACGAGCAGCAGGAGCTGCACGAGGCGGAGCCCACATCTGCTGTGGGTCAAGAGACTTCCTTCAAGATCGCAGAGGCCAAGGCCGCGCTGAAGCACTACTTGAGGGATCTGCGCAACAGACGCACCGACATCTACAGGGCCAAGCGCGCAAACAATGCTGGGGAGGCTGCGATCGACGACAATGCCGAAATACCCCACAACGAGCAATGAATACCGTTACCGCTACGCGATGGATGCTGGATGGCGTCGCGCAGTCAAAAGATTGTGGATACCCCCCCCCGCGAGAATCAGCGGAACGCTTCTGCTACTACATGCCCTGGGACCTCCATACAGAGGACTACATCACAGTGGACACATCTACGTCCACACTGACCATCAGCCGCCTGAAGCAGGCGATCGTCGCCAAGGTCCACGGACCAGAATACCCAGATCATGATCACATTTCGGGTGAATATGCGCAGAGAATGGTGATTACTGCCTGAAGCACGGAACTCAGGAACTACCATATGACATGAAACTCCATGATAAATCCGCGTTGGCAAGTGGATCGAGCAGAAAGGGTAAGCTGGTTACTGAAGACTCTTACAACGCCATGGGTTTACCTTCGATCAGGAAAATAAGCGCCGGCCTACAGATACCATGGAGGGGCCGCAGAGGCGCCTCCGTGGCGAGCGCACTTCCTGAAAAGCTCGCCTGCGCATGCGACTGGTTTTCAAATATGTCATCTACCGCGCTACTGAAAAGTGTGTTGCATGTATACACGTCGTTGATTTCTAATCGTGCTCATTTCTAATTGTGCTCGTTTCTGACTGTTCCTGGCCCCCTAGTGGCCAGGAAGAGGCCCAGGATAGAGCAATCAGAAATGACAGGATCTTGGCCCCCCCAAAAAACAAAACATTCTCGAAGGCTTAGAAATGAGCAGTGTGTATCGCTACATACTCGGTGCTCCGTCGCGAGCGGCACGAACGATGCAGGTGGCACGGACCGGTGGCCCCCTCAGCAAGGTCCCCCGGTGGTCCTGTGAGCTCCAGCGCCTCCCGCCCTTTTTGCGAGCCACGCGGGCGCGCGGCTGCGGCGGTGCGGCGGCGCGGACAGTGGACCGCTTCGAGGCGCTGCGAGAGAGAGAGAGAGAGAAATAAGACGCTCCCAAGAAGCCCCCAAGAGGCCCCCAAGACGGCCTCAAGAGGCCCCAAATAGCGCTCCAGGGCCGGCGGAATGAGCGAAACGATTAAATAATCGAATCGAATCGAGCTCTGGGGGCACCTTAAGTCAGATCGTCCACTCGTGAGAAGCCAGGGGGCCACTCCTGACATCCTCGTATCGGTTGATAGCGACAATCTGTTTGCCACGACGCCCTGAGGAGCCACCAGGGGAACTTTGCCATCCGGTCGCGCAGGCAGGAACACTGCTTTGGCGATCCGTGGCGCTCGCGTTGGCTGAAAAGGCTGGAGAGAGAGAGGGGAGATTTTTTCCTCTGCGAGCCAGTGGGCAGGACCGAGGGCGGCGACAGTTCGCCGACTCGCGCACTAACCGTGCGCCAGTGAGGCAATGCACGGTGACCAACTTGTTAGGTCACGCACAGCCAAAACAAAAACACAAAATCCACGCCCGTCGGCAGAGCGATCGGGGCCTTGCCCGCGGATGGGGCACGGACATGTGGACCTGTCGCGGGGCTGCTCCCTCTGCAAGAGCGAACGGGGGCAGCCAAAACAATGTGGCGTGCCACACACACGCGACAGAGATGTTGGGGCCCTGAACCTAAGCTCACGGGCCGCAGCAACATCGAACAAGCAACTGTCAGGATGAAGTCATCCCCGTGCTCGGAAATAGAAGACGCGCACCCTCGGTGTGCATGCTCCTTCCCCCAGAACTGGGGGGCCTGACACGCGTGCACGAAGACGCGTGCCACACACGAGCGACAGTAGATGTTGGGGCCCTGAACCAAAGCTCACGGGCCTCAGCAACACCAGAAGAGCCACTGTCGGGACGGAGTCGTCCCCGTGCTCGAGACTAGAAGCCGCGCGCCCAGGTGTGCATGCTCCTTCCCCCAGAAGTGGGGTGCCTGACACGCGTGCACGACGAGCGCACGCACCACGAGAACTAGGATAAGATTCGACCCGCCACACAAGGACGACGAGCCCAAGGTCCCTGGTGCAGCCAGCGCCAGGACGACCATCAGGCTCGTCCCAGATGTGGGGTATAGCACGGATGCCTGCCAAAAGGGTCAGCCGCATCGGGCCGTGCTGAGCATAAACGAGAAAGGCGAACCCTCGCCACTGGGAAGAATCGACCACCCACACAAGGACGACGAGGCCATAGCCCCTGGTGCAGGAAGCGCCAGGACGACTACAACACTCGCCCCAGAT